CTCACCCCCCACCCCCCTACCCTCTGACAGAGTGAGCTCTCCGTGGTGCTGAAAGCAGAAAAACACGTTCGGGCTCCAGTCACAGTGCAGCCTGCGAAGAGAAGGCACAGGAGAGACACACAAGACAGAAACATAAAATGACTACCTGGAGAAAGTGACTGGGCTCTGACTGTTTATGAAGATGAGTTGAGAGGCAAACCGCAAAAGAGAATAGCTGTAGTGGAAGGTGGCTACAGTCGGCAGTGGGCGTGTTCTTCTTGTTGTGATCTATAGTTGGGAAGCCTGGTGTCATCTGCTTAAGCCTGACTGTACCAACCTGTGTGGCTGAGCAGGACAGAGGGAGGCAGCAGGGAATGACATACCTGGAAACACACACCACTCTGCTCTACCTTGGTCTCAACCTTCAGGGTGCTGCGAATGAGGATCCCTTTCACTTGTGGGACATTTTGTGCATTTGGACATATTAATGACATTCTGTGACGGAAGCGTGGAAGACTGTGAGTGTTTTGGCTGCAACTGCAGGGGGAGTTTGATGTGTGAATGTTTCAGTGTGTATTTGTGTCGTGCTTGCAGTTGCGGGTGCGGTCTGTTGCAACACTGCGTCTTCCTTCTGTCTCCAGAATGTGCAGATGTGTGGAGCAGTGAAGCTGACACCTGTCTTGGAGTTTGACAACATCTGGACTGGAGGGGGTGCATCTCCCTTTTCTGCCCAGGGGAGGGGGCACCGGGCTGGGAACCCAATGGCTCAGCTCCCCTCTAGCACCAGAATCATCCTGGGTCACAGGGACTCCTTCTAGCAAGCCACTCTGTTGGACCATACAATGGATGGAAGTCTATGTGGATTTAAGTGGAATAGTGCACTGGTGCTCCAGCATAGGTCAGAGTTCACTAGCGTGCACTGGACTCATCAGGGGAAGACAGAAGACACATTGGTCCAAAAGTCTAAAGGGACACAGCCCCATTGTAAGTATGCATCATCACACTTGTCTATATACAACAATGACCCACAAACCCACAAAGAATTATGCAGATGCAAATGTATGCAAATGCAGTTGTATGCAAAAGTTGTTTTTTTTCTCAACTCAAGACAACATAGAAATAACTAGACAATGCTGCCAGTGGTTGTATCTGTGTGTGTCTGGATTTACAGATGATCTTTACTTGGTCAATCACACTGCACTGATGTGTGCGTGCATGCACAAGCACCCACACGTGCTTGTCACCAGACAGTTAGCCTTGCAATCTTTTTGACATTGTGTCTCAAGAATATCCACGCAGCCCTTCTCCTGTGACATGGTTGCCTGGAAACAGAAACACTGTGCCACTGCCATTTACTTTTAACGCAAAGTGCACCTCTGTTTTCCAACTGTTGCAGCCAATGTCAACTGGGGCAAAGGGAGGGGGGAAGAGATAAGACAGGAAAGAATGAAAAAGCCTCATGTGAAGGGAAAGAGCAATAAGGAGAAAGCTTCGATGGAAAAATAAGTTGCTGAATGGACAGGTTTTTATAGAGATGAGTATATAATAACATTTTACAACAATAAGTCACAGGAGGACAATCCAATGTGAAAGGCTTGGTTGGTGAAAACAGTGTGATAAACAAGCTGATTCCAGTGCAGAGTGCTGCTGCAGGCTTACAGGGATTAGGCAGGCAAGCTTAATTCCGCTCAAACACTATTTGAACTGTGCCTTCCCTTTGCAGCACCCTTTACACATCCAACTGGTGCATCTTGTCTCTCCTCAGAAACCATCATTTATTTATATATCTTTGTACAGCTTCAGATCTCTAACTGTGGCTGTGCATTGGCGATAAGACCTGACAATCAGGGGGAAAATCTCAACACTCCTTGACACCAGGATTCTGTGCCCTGATTTTAGCTCTTCCCTGAGATGGTGGTTCTGTCTGTCAGCTCTTATCACTCCTCTCCTCATGCTTGTAAAAACCCAGGCTGAGGGGTGTTGAGGATGCGTTGTGGGGAGTGGAACTGGCAGATAAACCCGCTGACCTCAGTCCCACGCTGGACCTATTGATAGCCAGACATGAGGTAGAGCGATGGCGAGGATGACCAGACAATGGCCGCTCTCTCATGCCCTGCAATCTCCATCTGGCTGCCCTCCAAGCCCTCCCCTCGCTGCCCTTGCCTGCCCACACACACATACACACACAGAAACATACATACAGTTATCACAAGCCCCCTCCCCCTCCCTACGCACACTCAGTGCTTCTCTCACACGTAAACAGCCATGAGTCTTAGGCTGATCTGAAAACACTGACCTACATAAAAGCATTCACTGTTTTCTTCTCTTCCACTACTAGCCGATCCAAATTCACATTTGGATAGTGCACATTGTACATACTGTGTTGCTTGCACTTGCACAGGTCTTTAGGCAAGTGCATGCCATACATGCAAAAATCAAACTGCTACATGCTATGGTGGCTGCAAACGTTGATATTTGAATCTGATTTCGATTCAGGAGGAGTTAATCACATAATGATTTTGCCAATGTGAATGTTTCAACAAAGGCTTTTCCTCAAAACAACATCCGTGCTGCTTTTTCGTATGACAGTGATGTCTGCAAAAGTCTTTTTTACAAAATCAAAGGCAGCAACGAACTCACGAAACTCAGGAGATTATTTTTAGATCTGAAACACATGATGTTGGTATCTATAAAACCACACATCACAGTCGCAGGAAGATTGTTCATTTCATCTGTGCGGTTTGTCCCAGGAGTGCTGTATTTTCACATCTGTGCCCAACACATTACAACTGTGGAGGATGAAAGCCTCTCTCCAGTTTTATTCAGACACTCTTAAAGCCAGTAATTTCAGCCAGCAAATGTGCAAACACAACTGAGAAAATGAGCAGCTGCTACTTATCCTCAGCCAAAATGAAAAGACTTGAATCTAATGACTAACTGTAGCCAGATAGTGAGTCCTTCGACAGCATCCAAATTTGTATGTGCATGTGAGCATGTGTGTATGTGTATTGTGCACAATAAGTGATGGAAAAAGATGTTGCAACCCTCGAGGGAAAATGCTTACTCTTGCAGACACAGGAGTGATGCAAGTCTCACCACCAACACGGAACTTCCTCAGGCCATGAACGCCACTGCAACAGTCCGAAAAACTTAAAGACAACAGGGGCATTGCACAAACTCAATGTGTGACACTGTTGTAGCGCTGATGCAATCCTGCTCCATTGGTTCTCCTCTTACCAAGGCTGACCTTGAAAAATAAGGATGAAAGAATAACTACTAACACAACTGCATGCTTTTTTTGCAGTCAGTACATACTCATGTTGTGCTGATCCACATCATTGCTATTATGCTTCTGTCTCTTTTAGGCTAATATTTCCTGTATTCTTTCATCAGAATGCTGTGGAGACACTTGAAGAATGATGAGCTCCAAAGAGGAGGAAACTCTCCGGTTTTTCCAGTATGTTGAGGAGAATGGGCTGAGAGCCTACAATGGCCTGGTAGCTCAGAACTTGGACCACGCCAGGAATGAGAGAAATAAGGCCTTCCTGCAGGAAAAAAACGACAAGAAGAGAAAACAGGAGGAAGCCATAAGGAGGTAAAAAGAAAACAAGTAAAAGTTCCTCGTAATAGCAGAAATGACACACTTCTTGACAAATAAATGTACGAAAATATATCATAAATCAAATTAATCTTATCAAGGGAGGTAAGCTAATGGGGGACTTCTCAGTGATTTATGAATTAGTTTCACAAGGCTCACTACATCACACAAATGGGATCCAGCTCTGTTAATGCAAGGATGTCACCGGGTTCACTTCACAAATAGGTCATAAGGAATTGGGACAAGTGGCCAGAGGGTCTGTGGCAGGTTGCCATATTTTGGTTTTCGTCAGTGTGGACTGGTGCACTCCACGATCTTAAGAGGATAATTAATTTTTCACATTTGGAGGTATTTAGGACTTGTCCTTGCATGGAGGTCATTTCTGTTCCATTTTTGAACAAGGAGAGTTTTTAGAATTAAAACGGAGGTGGGTCGGCAGTGACGGAAAGTGTGTGAGGATGAGAATGAGACTTGTAGCTTTACTGTGGTGACTTATGTGCATCTTAGTGTTCAGCTCATTGTCACATCATTGTCAAGAAGTGTTTAAAAAAAACATATTTTTTTGCAATCGTCCTCATCAGCGATTGGTCACATGTGCTGCCACACGTTGTTGAGCTTGTTTTTATGAAAAGGCAGCTACAACTGTGCCACTGTGAACAGCAGCACCACTGTGTGGCATCCCGAAACTTGAGCGAATAGAAGGCACGCTCTCAAAACGTGACTCGCACGTGGACGCAGTACACTAGTGTTGTGGGGTAAAGTTTGAGAGCACTGAGTCACCCAGTTGTTGGAGACAATAACAGTACATAACTAATGGGTTAGAAATATTGTTTTGGTGTGACGTCATGGACATGTGTGTTGTGTTGTTCCCCCAAAAATAACAGAAGGCAGAAACACTGTGTCGAGTTACAAATGGATTTATATTTCATTGTCCACCATAAATGATGGTTTGATGGTTGTTTCTGTGACATGATCATGCTTTTTCTAATACTGTAGTTCTTACAAGATGTCAAAAGAAATGACAACCCTCACATCCTTTTCATTGTGAAATTACACTCGTCACACTTAAACAAGCTCTTACATTTGCTGAGATATTTATAATAAGAATATCAATTGAATGCCGGTTGTTTAAAGAATAAGAAATCAGCTTTTAGATTAATATTTGATTCACTGTAACGGACAAACAAATCATGTAATTATGCAGCAGGCTCAACAAACAGCGGAAAAGCTCAGAGTAATGTTGGAATGAATCATTTGTGTTCATTTGTCTGTTTGACATGGTGCAAGGCATTTTAACAGCAGTTTAGAGTTTTAGCTTTGCATCCGATGATTACATTCACATGCTTTTCGGCACCAGATGTTCCTCCTCTTAACTGATTTATTCAGCAACACTTTCGACCCTATCACATTTCTGTCAAAGGGTCATGAGATTTAAACAGAGCTCTGCTCTCTGTGATCCATTTTTTCGCGATTGTCCATTTTTTCTACTGCCTCACTAGCATGATCAAAGCCGAGTTAAACTTCATACCTCAGGCTTTTATAAGAGAGATAACTTACAAAAACACTGTTTCCAGAAAAATGTCCCCAGCTCTCTTTATGCAGTCTGATGCAGACACATTCAGTAACTTGGTGAATGGGACAGGGCGATGCCTGAGGATAGTGGCATCTACTGTCTTGCCACCCCTTCCCTGTTTCTCAGCTGTTGCCAAAGCTGAAATATTAATACAAAGTCACTGGAGGAAGAGTCTAAAAAATAACTGGATTTTTCATGACGCCTACAAGTAGGTCAATGAGACGACCCCTTTTTACAGTAACTGACTGAGAGTGAGGCAGAGTGTGAAGATTCATGTGTGCATGATTGCATGTGTGTAAATAAGCGTGTGTTTGTGCACATGTGCTTGCAGGTACGTGAAAAACAGGAGGAAATGAAATGTTACTAGTGTGTAAGAAAGGTTAGGAAAGAACAAATGGCCTGTGCGACTCTGCGAGGGAGTGAGAGCTTGTTATAGCAAATGTATTTAAGAGTGGGGGGGAAGAAGGGGGAAAAAACATGTTAGAGATTAAGTGTGAGCTCAGTTGCAGGAGATGTGTTCTGCCTGGTGACAGCTGGAAGAGCCATTGGCCAATCAGATCAGTATGCGAGGTTTGAGTGAGGCGGGCCTTCCTGCCTCTGTCTCACTCTGGATTTCTTTTATTGTATTTCATCAGAAGTTACTCACACAAACAAACACAAAGTAGATGCAGAAGCAGAATTTACTTAAACATTTAATTGTATTCATGAACACGCACATGCCACACACACAAAAAATCACATGAGCTCATTTACTTATATTTTCATACGCAGGCAAATGACTCAAAACGACTCTTTCCTTTGCACGCAGTGATGGACTCAACCATAATTTGTTTTTCTGTTGTTAGGGTTTGTTTTGTTTTTTCCATCACATGGTGTCACAGAGAACCAGAGCTGCCCAATGACATGTCAACTCCAACTGGTCCAAGTGCACCTTTTGTCTGTCCTGCAGCCAATCACTGGGCAAATATCCTATAAATAAGCCAGTCACCACTACTCCAGTGACCCACACACACACATGCACACAACACATGTATGTGGGTATGCATGCATGACAGGGTTTTATTATTTTTGTATTTTTGTGTTGCTGAAACCTGTGGCTGTAGATTAAGATTTGTTTTTTTCTCAAAGACATTTCAGTCCAACCATAGATGATTAATATTTGTATACAGAATGTGCATCAATATCCACTCAGCAGATTGGTTAATAATATTATATAGAATATTACATCATAGTATATAAATATGAGTGCTCTTTTCCTAACTCTTTAAAATGCCATTGCCGATGTGGCTGTTTATGCAGCTGCAGGAATCTCAGCTCAGAATGCAACGCAATCGAGATGTGCACGTGCACTTTATTATTGTTGTGTGGCAGCAGCTGCTTTTGTGTCTGGTTTCTAAGGGTACCCTGTTGCTAGGCGAAGTTAAGTCCCCCTGGTCAGTGAACCCACCCCAGCAAACACCTTCTGTTCAGCAGCTGGCCAGAAGGGAGCCAGAGTCAGCAAAGTCCCACACCGAGGGGTCTCACGCATGCACACACATGCACACAAATGCACACACAGAACACAAGAGAGAAAGAGAGAGAGATTTGTAAAAAATCACATGCAAATTCATCCATTTGCTTAAACATTAAAATCTCTGACATTAGCCTAATTGTGCCTCTAATATGAGAATAAATAAATAAACAGCAGAGATCAAGGATGCCTTTATTGTAAATTTATCATGTCTTTTGTACAAAACATTTCCCTAAACTCTCTTGAGCTCATTTACTTTGCAAAACAGACACTCACACAGACACACACACACCCAGACCTCCACCCTCCCATTACCACATCATTACCGCTCCATTCAGGCCAATCATCCATTTGTGGGGATTGATTGTGTACAGGCTGGATAACTTCCATGGTGTCATTCTGCTTGTGGTTGTGTGAGCAGCGTTGGTCATATCCAGGGTTAAACACAAATCAATGCCTTGCCCTGAAAGAGACCCTGTTTTCTGTGGCAGCAACACATCTGTTATTGTTAACCTTGCAACCTCATCGCTTGAGCCCCTGGCAGAGGCCAAAACATATATGAACAAACATACATGAGTTTAGGAAGAATGTTATGATTCTGAAAATGTCTTTTTCTTTGCATAATATACACCTTTATCTTTCTTTTACATTTCTGTTTTTTCCTTTCCTTTACACTCTCTCTACCTCTCCTCTTTTTTTCTGATTTAGGACGGGAGAAGACATAACAACTGAGGGCAAGCACTTGCGTATAGGCTCCATTACCATGCCGGACCCCCAGGAACGCATGCCCATGCACCACCCGCACGCCCTTGCTGGTGGCCAGGGCTTCTCTGTACGCTCCCAGTCCCTCCACTCTGTCGGTGGTGGGAACACTGGGGGTGGAGGAGAGGAGGAAGTGGGAAGCCCGACCTCTAGGAAGCAGCCCCCACCCAAGCCCAGGAGGGACCCGGCCACCAAGCTGAGCATGTCGTCCGAGGCGGTGGACCACAGTCCCATGTCCACCTGCCGCGGGGAGAGATGTGACGGTGAGTGGTTGTGGCACAAACACCAAACTGCTGTGCTATATATAGCTTCTCTCTGCAGTGCCCTCCTCAACACTCCTACAATGATGTGACATCTATTCATCTCATACTTCCATGAAATTATAACAAAGTATAACTACAATGGGGTTAAAACATGGGTAAAACAGTGCGTGTGCACAAATTAACCTGCAGGTTATTAAACAACATGCATGGAATCTGTCAAGATCCGTGACAAAGTGGTCTTATCTAGTCTTAATGACCACTTAAAACACTTTACAGTACATTTTTGCTAATTCACCGAATCATACACACATTCACATTGTGACAGACATTCATTGTCATCAGAGGATGGATCCTAATGACTTCTTTTGCACCATCATGACATTGTAGTTAAATATCTCCACAACTATGTGACCAATATCTATGTAATGCACCTCTATGTCTATTTATCCATCTCTATCGCACATCACTGCCGACACAGGGGGGCAATTTGGGGTTCAGTATCTTACCCAAGGACACTTCGACACATCGAATGGAAGAGTGACTAGGGGTGACTGGGATCAAACTGCCGACCTTCTGATTAGTGGACGACCCGCTCCTCCTTGTGAGCCACAGCTGTCCTTAAATAACACTGTAGCAAGAGGCAAGAGCACAAACAAATACAGCATTATCCTAGTGCAATATAAGATGCCAGAATCTACAGCTGTAATTAAACTATTTAAAGTCAGTTAAACAAATTACAGGATGTTTGCATACTTTCCTTCACCACACAGATTAGTCACAGAGAGTAAGAATCATCTCCTCACGTAATAAGTCTGCTAACTAGTAGATTTGCAAGGCTTTAAATGCGGTTTTTAATGCTGAAAGAAATACTTTGATATATTATAGAGTAACTAGTTCTGTGTATTAAGTTTACGCACCAGCTTTACCATAGCAGTGGCACAGCACTGTCTGTGCCAACATTTAGAGATTGCACTGATCAAAACCTAGAAGATGCACCGTGCAGCGATTTCAGTCAGATTCCTATTTCTATTTAGTCATAATAACAGTACAACAACTCTGTGTAAAGTACAAGCTTGGGCAACTGTCCTCTCGCAAGCCACAGAATCAGAAACCGCTGCAGCAAATGCACATTGTACACGTCCATTTGCTGAGTATAAAGTAACCAGCACTGTAAAATTAAGCTGATATTATAATAAAGGTCTCTGTGCCAGGTCGCTGTGAGAGCAGAGAGAGGCAGAGGTTGTGGCAGGCTTTGACTCCATTTGAGTTTGGATGCTGCCAACGTGATGTGGAGGGAGTCGCCCAGGCTGGCTCAGATTGGTGGGGATCTCTCTATGTGCACACAGATCTTCCTGGGCACCACGGCAACCATCCCACAGAAACAAGACCCCCTGCAGCACAGCCAATCACAGCATCACTCAACAACTTGGGCCAATGGGGCTCCAGAGATGCTGAAGTCTGAGGCTTCTGAGGCTTCTGAGCCAATCGGAGCGAGAGTGTGGGGGTGTCCCTGGCTGAGGGGAGGGTTGCGTGCTCTGTAGCTGGCGCTGTAGCGGGAAGAGGAGGAGCCTGTCAAAGTAGAATTCATTCAGGAGGAGCGATTGACCTAGATTCGTTTTCCCCAGGAGGAGAGGGAGGGAGAGGGGGTTGCGGGTAAACACATCCGCTACAGGGGGAGGGGGAGAAGAGGGAGCAGGAGAGGAGAAGGGATGGGGAGTGTGGGAGGTTTGGAGGGATGGATTCATCATCAGTGCTGAAACAGATCTCCAGATCCACCATGCAGACCTGTTAGTGTAGTAATGTATTTGACAACTGCAGAAAAGAGAAATAAAATGCACATACATATATGCATGCATGTATGAACACAAAGAAAGGAAGAGAGTTAACAAGAATGTGTTAGTATCATATGAGTCTAATTAAACACATACCAGGAGCACATCTGGATTGAAGCAAACCTTCTATTAACACCCAATTAATTAGTGGTAATGAAAAGAAAATGTGGAGACAAAAGGCCTGTTCCATCTTCAGCTCGCATTAGCATCAATGACATCACCATCAACCAGGATAAATGCATGGCCGTGCAAAACACCAGAGCAAAACAACACAAAATGTTCTGATTGAATTTTCAGTTTTGACGCTTTGTTTAACCCAGCGGATCATCTCCTCCACTTTGAATTCATCGATTTTTTCCACTTAAATAAAAGACTTGAATCAATCTTTTTATACCCGTGTATCTAATTTAAGCAACATAATCTTCAAAGCAGCACATTCAGATGCAACCCAAAAACGGCGAAGGCATATACTACTCAGTTTCTGAGACCATTTTCTTGAAGTCTTCTTAGATTGTGACACTGCGTGGTATATGCCATTCCTAATTTCCCTCTGCAAGTGTGTAGGCATGTGCTGTGTGTGTCTGTGCATGCGCATGCAAGCCTGCAGCGATGGTGGTGAGTCATAAAGTTACGGGAAGTATGCGTGTGTCTGGGCCATCTGGCATCTGAATTATTAAAGGTGTAAAATCTGCAGTTTGAAGGTTTCCAACATGGTCCGACTCTTAACGACACTTATCCCCCCCATGCCTATCAGAGAAAGGGACACTCCAAACATCTCGGTGCCTGACCTAGAAATACACTGAACACAACTCGGTAGTATAGGCCGTGAGTAAACTAGCATTACTGTACCGTAGTATCTACGACGTGAACATTGTTCCGTAGCCTTACTGCACCACATCTAAAGAGATACACACACCGCAATGCTACGTCACCACTATCAGAAAGAAGCTCCACAGTGTGTGTGACCCAGATACTATACTCACATACTGCTCCACTGCCGTATATGTGACCTAGAAACATGCATATGCCTCAACTATTCCTACATATCTGACTCAAGATATTGCTCTCAGCTGAACACGTTGACCTACATCTGACCCACAGAACAGCTATGGGCTTTATATTATTGCCACTGATTCATTTAATGATTGATTAGAAATGACACACTTTTGTTAAAACCAACATTGCTTTGTGAAAGCAGAAATGTTGTATGCCACAACACAATGTTGTTCAGAATGACAAATTAAACACAACAGATGATGAACAAATGATTTAGAAAACAGATCATATGCAGTATGTTGCTTGTGAAGGTAATTTTAAGACTTTCTTTTATTCTGTTCGTCAGCAGCTCAAGGATGCAGCGAGGACTGTAGGAGGGTTCCGCCACCCAAACCCAAGAGGAACCCCAATACACAGCTGAGCGTTTCCTTCGATGAGTCCTACATCAAGAGTCATAGAGGCAGTGGGGTTTGTCCGTCCAAACCCCTCCATTACGTCACCTCCCCCTGCGAACTTAATCCATCGCCACCGCAGAGCGATGAGAGCCCTATAGATGACTGTGAAGATGAACCTGTGTATATAGAGATGGGCGGGATTGATGTTGGAGCACGGGAACCCCTGAAGAGCGAGGATGAGGAGCCAGGAGAGTCTGTGTACGAGGAGATGAAGTACCCAGCTCTGGATGATATGGAGTACCGTACTGACCCTGTGGGATGCCGCTCTGCATGCCCCACCCCTGCCCCTTATGACCCTGAACCTCTCAGCCGCTGCTCCACACCTCGAAACATTCCCCTCTGTGACATTCCTGCACCTTTTCCCAATTTACTCACCCATCGGCCTCCGCTGTTGGTGTTCCCCCCAGCACCAGCGCAGTGTTCACCCAACTCAGACGAGTCCCCCCTCACCCCTCTAGATGTGACCAAATTGCCCATGCTGGAGAACCAATCCTACAGCAAATCCCCAACATCGTCAACTGAACCAGTCTCCTCTGCACACATCCGCAGGGAGCTCACTGCCACCCCAACCCTCACCGTCTCCGGGCGCTCCTCTGCTCCTCCTCTACCCTGCACCCTCTACAAATCGTCCTCCTCTTCCTCCTATCAGCGCAGCCACTCTGCTTGCCCATCGCCTGTCAGCATGGGTCGCTGTCTCACCCCCCTGAGCCTCATGCGCACACCTCCTTTTGACGCCTCAATGCCATTTCCCGGGGGTCTGCCTCGCAGCGCCTCTGCCACCCCTCACGGTAAAGGTTCACCACCTCAAGATGGTGGGGGTCGACTCCATGGCTCTATGCAGAATGTGTCAACAGGGCGATCACGAACACCCACCAGTCCACTGGATGAACTGACCAACCTGTTCACCACAGGCAGGAACATGCTGAAGAAAAACACAAGTGGCAGAAAATCTAAAGAACCTGGAGAAAGTAAGTTAGCGCATTTCTTGGTTATGATAAGTGATCTCAAAGTCCTGAAGATGGCAGACATGTTTTATGTTTGTTTATTTGTAGATATCTTATCTTCTTCATTAGTTAAGAGAGTCAACAATACATAAACTCTATCAACACTCGAGAGAAAATGCAAAGAAACTAGAAAGTTGGAACAACATACAAAAGTGTCCAAAGACAACACAGAAAGAGTCAGATTCTAAATGCAACAAATAAAATAATAGTTTTCAATTCCCTAATCAGTGATAGTTTACAATTTACCACTGCTTTGGGGTAACAAGTTAAACATAGTACAATGCTTATGATACAACCTTCCATCTATTTAATCTCAGCCCCACGAGCCAGGTTTGATACAGATCGTATGATTTAATCTGAGGGGATTAGAGACTAAAGCAGACAGCAGGCCCCTCAAACCTACTCAAGGCATTTAGCCATCAGGCAGCTTTAATTTTAAATATGTAAACATCATGTTTAAATACAGATGGCCGTGCCAAAATCTATGCAACTCTGATGGATGATTTTAACTGCTCATGAATAACTCTCTAACATTATTTAACATACTTTGTTTAAGGTCCAGGGTTTGCACTTTATGTCATTATAAGCACTGTCCCTATGATATAAGATGCACAAATTGTTTAAATGTTTATAGAAAAATGATCTAAAAAGCATTGATCATTTATATTTTCTATCACATTGTGGGTTTGGTGCCAGCAGCATTAAAATGTAATTCTTCTCATGCATAACAACATCAACTGTTATTTTTTGTGTTAAATTAGCTGTCTTAATCTAATGTCTTAAATCTATTTTGAAATCTAATGTAGTTACTGGAAATTAATTTAAAAAAAGCATTGACTGCAACCATTAAACCAAACTAAATAAGCAATATAGTGTTTCATAAATGCATGAAGGATTAATGTAGTGGCATGTCATGCATTATTATTTGGGTCACTAATAAATTAACATAGAGTATCTAACGATGTAATGTGAGGTTTGACGTGTAGTTGACTTAAAACTCCAAAGCTATGTCCTTCTTCAGAGGTGAGCTGCACAATCTGAAATATATATATTTTTTAATTTCACAAAATTTTAATGCTCAAACTATAAAGAGTCCACCCATCCATCCCCACTCCGTGCTCTTAGCAACTACAACATAGCAACAGCAGAAGGAGGAGAAATCCCTGTTTCTTATTTGCAGATTCCCTCCCCTTGGGTAATGCAGCCAATCACAGCTCAGGGCACGTCGGCCTACGACAGAGCAGTGAGCTCCTGATGGGGATAGCTACTCCTCTGAACTCATATCTACCCTTGATCACAGGATTTCAGATTCTCTTTTTCCGTCCAATCAGCACATACTCTACTCGTGATTTGGCCAATCATGAAGCGAGGGCTGCTGTGGATAGTGGAAGCTGAGAAAATGAATGGTTCCTTGCTATTTTGACTTAACCGATCAATATGTCTTTCAGTGTATTGTATCAGTCAGTGCACTTTTTAATATTGTGAGAATTTGAATTACTAACTGACAGTGATTAATCATATTCAAGTGTTGCATTCAGGTGCCAGGAATTCCCAGTGATGTTTGCAAACAGTGCGCATATGTTCTCTATACATCAACAGTGATGATTTTAATATTATTATGATTTTATCCTAACACCGGTGTCATCGGGGCTAAAGCACTGACAGGTTGCAACATGCTACGAGCACACACGCTGTAATGAGCACAAACACTTAACACAATGAATAGAGGTTCATTTTTTTCTCTCTCTCTTTCCATTTTTAAGGCGATAGAGACAGCAACAGCTAGCCTGACCCACTTACCAACCGGTTAATCGCTATACTTACACACACACACACACTCATGCATCCGCACAAACTGAAAAGCCATGGATGACACATGTGGGCATGACAGTGGTGGATGCTTACGTATGGTACTGTATGTGGATGCGCATATATAAACCATATAGAGAGGCACAGCCTATATGCCTATATGTGAATCAATCAGGCACATCCATTTTTTTTTCTGGTGCAGCATTGATCTGTTATATCCTTCTTTATGCTTGAATCAGTGACACACTTATGGTTCACTTTTAATGTTTGCAACGCCAGAATATTGCACATTGTAGAAAAAAACACACAGAGCTTGCACATGAATAAATAAGAAGAAAATCTAAACAATGACTGGTAATGCTTTGAAACATTTTTTGTTATCATGATCACTTTGTGTGTGTATTCCGTTGCTTTTAAGGTGAAAGGGAAGTAAAGTGAAACAATGTGACAGTATAAACAGATTTTGATTGAATTAAAAATACGCAAACATCTAATGATTGAGTGTCACTGATGGTGTGTATAATCTATCATGAGTATGAAATGAAATGATCTAAAATCAATGTGTGTGAGCCCATTATCGACTCATCTGACACTAGTGGTTTACTGCAGTTGCCTCAGTGAGCTCAGAGTGACACCTAGTGTATATTTGGTGGTAGTGCAGAACCCTCCAGCAAGAAAAACAATATTTTTTTTATTTCATTAATAATAATAATAATAATGTCAACACATTGCTAACATATTATCAATAACTGACATTATGTGATTATTAGTAATTATTTATAATGCATTTTTAACTAAAACATTTTTTCTTTTTTTGTACTGTTCCTTTACAGCTGAGTCCAAAAGCAAGTCTCACAGTGAGTCCAAGCGTGAAGGCAAGGAACGCCACAGTCACAGTAAGGAGTCCAAGCGAGACTCCAAGGAGCGGCACAGCAAAGAGTCTTCACACCGGCGAGACAGAGACAAGGACAAGGACAGAGACAAAGACAGAGACAGAGACAGAGACAAAGACAGAGACAGAGGAAGCAACAATGTAGAGCAACTGCCCCACAAAAACAGTAAAGACCGTACTTGTAGTAGTGTAGAAGCACCGCCTGTTCGCAGGGACAGCAGGGACCAGGGCTGCAGCAGCGTAGAGCCCATACCTGTGAGACAAGACTCCAAAGACAGGGGCTGCAGCTCCTTAGAACCAATCTCTTCAATAAGAAGAGACTCCAAGGACAGAGGGATAAGCAATGGTGATTTGATGCCAAGGAGAGATAGCAAGGACCGGAGCGGGGGACATGGAGTGGAGCCGTTGCTAAGGCAGGACAGCAAAGACCGAGAGAGACTGCTGGATCAGCCACCTGAGCTCTTACCAAGACAAGAGACCAAGGAAAGGGTGAGAAATGGTGTAGACTCCAGACACGAAAGCAGAGAGAGACTGCTAGATCAGCCACCTGAGCTCTTATCCGGGCAGGATAGTAAGGAGAAGGCCAGGAATGGTGTGGACTTAAAGCACGAAAACAGAGACAGGCCACCTGAGCTTTTACCCCGACAGGAGAACAAAGACAGAGCTAGAACTGGAGCAGAATATAGGCATGATAGCAAAGATCATCGATCTGATTTGTTACCCCGACAGGATAGCAAAGAAAGAATCAGGAGTGAGATAGAGCATAGGCACGAAGGTAGAATAGACCAGCCTCCGGTGATCCTGCCCCGACAAGAAACATCCAGAGGCGGCAACAGCAAGGACAGAGTTGCCTACAGCTCTGACTCCAAGATTGAGGGTAGAGAGCGAAGCTGCCACAACGGAGGAGATATTCCTCCTCCTCCTCTACCCAAGCAGGAGAGTAAAGATCTTTGCAAAACTGGCCTTGAGGCAAGGAGGGACAGCAAAGACCGAATTCTGAATAACTCAGGGGAGCAGCATTATTACGATGTGAAAAACAGCAAGAGCCCCGCTGCAATGGAGTATAGGTGTGATAGCAAAGGATACAGACGGGATGGCACGCCCCGAAGGGAAAACAGAACAAACTACAGCATGGAACAATCGAAAGCACAAGACAGGAACGGTAGCACAACATCAGGGCAGCATTCATCCACAACAACACCTACTCACCACGGGAGATCATCCGGCAGTCCACCAATGACTGTGGGAACAGGAAATGGTGAAGACCTCAAATTCTTAATCTAATACTGTTCATTGACTCGTAGTATAAACAGCAACATTCAGCAGAAAAAAATACATTGAACTATCTTTAATGCATGATTTTGCTTTGTAGATCCGAAAGCAGCACCAAAATATGTCCGCTCACCTTCTGCTCCTGCCAACCCCTCACCAATAGGAACTCCGCAAAGGAGAGTAGCAGAGACACATCACAGTCAGGTAAGCAGATTTGTTTGTTACTCATATTGTTTTAGACTTTAACAGAAAATGTACTTTAAAAAGCCCTGTTCAGATATGAACACCTGAAAATGTCCAGACATGTCCTGAATTTGTCAAGAGTTTGTCTTTCACATATGAAGTATGCAGCAGAGATTCTCTGGTCGGACATATTCACGACGACAGAAACAATTTCTAGATCGTTTAGGCGAGGAGTGGCGCAGCATGCGTTGTAAAAACAGACAGCATGTGCATTTGTTTCTTTGGATTGGTTCATTGTAATTGCATAACATGCTTTTTGTGTGCAAATTGAACATCCCACCTGAGACAATACCAAGTCACTCAATGTGTAGGGACTTAAATTTTGCTGGAGTATTAAACCACACCATTACACACTGCTGTTTGCAGGATGCATAGCGATAAGGTACTTGGGAGCACTGGTCTGTACGGGTTAGCCTTAAGACTAGCGTGTAGCCCAGCTAGCTTCCCCCGCTTCTTTTTCCTCTCTCTTTGCCTGAACATAGGCTTTTGAGCCTGACTGTCTTAAATCACTTTGCAGGTCATCCGTCATTACCACAGACATTTAGAATGGTTTTTAAAAAAGCAGAATGTTTCCCTAATTGTCTCATTTGCTGCTGCAGGTCATAAAAAGGCAACAATATTAAAGTAACACTGTTTCAAAACCAGTTAAAAACTCCTTGTAGGGGCTTTAATGGTGCTGAGAACAGTACCTAACATTTGAAGCCAAGTGTGCAACTAACTCTGAAGTAGAGATGTATTCACTTCACTGGATGTACTGAATCTGCTCCCTCAGATGCCCCAGATGCCCTGGATATGTGGTGACACCACCATGCTCGAACAGATCGAGAGGAAACGCACCCTCTGCATGGAGATCCGCTCCAGACAGCACCCACACCTGCAGCGATCTCTGGAGAGGCCTCCTCCTCCGGACAGGAATGAGGACAGGCACCCGGAGCGGAATCAGTGCAAGCAAGAAAGTGCATCTGTCCTCCCAAGTTGGGGGAAAAGCAGCGGGGCCAAAAAGATCCGTCCACCACCTTACCCCACACAGACAACCGTATTCTGGGACACGGCCATCTGACCGTAATAACACACTTGCACCTCCCTGCCACACAACCCCCCTATTACCCACTCCCTCTTTCCTCCAGGTTGTGCTGATTCATCCCTGGAACACCAGGGGGAACCAGGACAGCCAATAAGAGCACCAGGGGGCTGATACTTGCTGATGTCAAAGGACAATGGTGGTTACCATAGCAATATTTCTGCTTGTTCAGGTTGTCATGTTTTCTTATCATCACTGGTGATATTTGATATTTTTCTATTTCCTGTGACTGGATTCTTGTAATATAATTAGTAGAATAGATATTTGATGAATAGATATTTTTTAAATGAGATGGGGATTAAAAAGCATCTTAAATTATGTATAGTAGATGTAGATGCTATCTAAAGTTTGTTTTTTTAAGTTATTTTTGTTTTGGTTATTTTACATTTGAAAGCATACTCTATCAATACTTGTACTGTAGTAGCATAATTTTCTTATGCCCAACTCTTTTTGTGCTCAAAAGCACTGAAGTGAATGGACTATTCAATTCTGTCTATATATACTTTACATTTTCACTGTTGTATAGTAAGTTGAGGAGTTCAACGTCAACGTGCTTTAGATTCCGGCACCTTCCATGCCTGGTCCAGCATGTTGTAGAATGTACAACAGTTGGTCCTAGAAACGAGAAAGGAAACTCTGTGTGCTTCACTTTGTATATTACAGTAAGAAGCTGTGTAGTCACTGTGTCAAAGCCTCTCGAAGCGGTCGATTCGTTTTATAGGTGAACCTGTTGGCTGGCACGTTGTAGATGACAGAGAAAGTGTGAAATGTTTCTTCTGTGTTCTAAGAGACACTATGAGGGTGGGATGAGGAGGTAGAAAATTAGAACATTACATTTTAAACAGTATAATTTCCAAAACCAGCCAAAGCCTGTAAAAGCAAGAGATGGGTGTGATTGCACTTGGGACGTGTGTTTATTTAAAAAGGGGTGGTGACATTAGGTGGCAAGCACTAGTGCATTAGGTGGCAAGCACTAGTGCTAGTCATGCATACTGCAAGCACCATGGCAAAGTGTAAAGACTTGATGCCAAACGACTAGCCCGTACAATCAACACCTGAGCTTTTAGAACATTTCTTAATTTTACTGCAGATTATAATAGCCATATGCACTTGCTTATGAAATAACTTTCAAGATTATGCTTATATATATATTTTTGAAAATGTTAGGAGTAGCGAGCTGTGCCATGGAAGTTTTCATTTATTGGCTAGGACATAAATGCCTCAGGAGACTGGCCGTGTGACATGCAGCCGTCCTTGATCGGTTGTCTCTGACAATGTTCCCAATTGAATTGGCTGGCAACCATTTTAGAGATCGAATCATTTAAGGACCTATCACATGGCAACAGCTCTACCCAGTGAAATGGACAGGGGTTGCACAAGGGCCTACAAATATTTGAGGCTTTGCTAAGAAGAAAAGAAAACTGCACTACCCATCATCTTCCATCACATTCAATCAGGCTGGTAACATACATGTCCTTCTCCCCCAGCTCTCTCCCTCTACCTCAGCCTCCTGCTTACATCATCGAAATTGGTTCTCTTTGCACATTAAAATGCAATGTCAACATTGCCAAAATAGTTTGGGTTTGAGAAATGGGCGAACCCTCCGAGTGCAAGTGCAGTACCCCCTCTCTCTGGTGAGAATCAGATGTCCCTCTGTGTTGTGCGAATGGGCGCGTGTGTGTGTGTGTGTGTGGGAGAGAGCTGTGCATGTCTGTGTTCGTGTGCCAAGCTACACTGTATGCAAGTTGAATCTTTACAGATGATTGTTTTAAGACATTCACTTTGCCCTATCCATGGTGTTGGTGGGTGGAGGTTGGAAATGTAATAATGATGATGTACAATCTTTTTGTGTGTATAAATGTGCACTGTGAAAAGGTAGAGAGAGCACCGCACTGTCAGAGTCCTCTGCCCTATTGCACTGAGTGTTCTCTTGTTTCGCGTACTTTAAAAAAAAGAAAAAAAAACAATTTTGAGGAAATAAGTACTGTATTCTGATTGTCACATGGGTTCTGTTGAGAGAAATAAATAAATATGAACTTGAAACCCACTATGGAGAAAACTGTATTCTGATGAAATATTTCCTTTTTCACTCACCTTGTGATTTTTCCATGTAGGTTGTCGTATTTTCAACTGTCATAGCTACTGAACTCTGAATGACTCAGAAACTTTAATAAAAACATTTTATTTGAGGAGCACAACTTAGATAAAGGACGATAGCGCTTTGAACATTTCTCCTCAAGAATGCTTTTTCAAAACTAATCTGGAAACATGCACGAATACATTACAGCAGCAAGATGATCAACTATTATCGCATTCAATTAGAAATAGCACCTCATTCAAAATAATGACAGAAACTATAAAAGTATAAAATCGCTCTTCAGATGAAGGTACATTTCTGTTAGTAAATGTAACCTAAATATGGCCCTGAGTGGAAATCAGAATTAGCTTTTATAAATGGAAAGGCTTAAAGTAACAGCTAAAAGTGATGTGAGGACAGTTAATTCCCTCTGAGGCAGACATGACACTGACTGGCCTTGCGTCGTTGTTGGTCGGCTGCTTTGATGGTGCCGGGTCTCGGGATGATGAACTGCTCTGTCTGACTCACAGTAGTCAGCCAAAAACTGTAGAGGTTGGCGAAGTAGTGACAGGAGCCTCGCTCGCCCTGGCACTCTATGAAGGGGTGAGTTCTGAAATCCTTGAGGCAGCTGCCGGAGGAGGTCAGAGACTGGCCACCACCATTATCACCTTCCCCTGTGTGCTGAGGACAGGATGACAGAGGACGTTCAGGGTGTAACATTTTCTTTCAATCACTAACTTTTGTTTTGCACTCACCAGGAGGAAAGAGTAGCCCTTCCACAGACTCCTCCAGCCAGGCGGGCACGCAGGAACCGTGTGATCCTGGCTATGGAAAGCCACTGCAGGTGACACCGTCTCACACACGACACAGCGGCTGATGTGGGAGCTAATCTCCTGGCCGAATAGTGGCATCATGGGTATGGGAGCAGTGGTAGAGAGCCAATAGGATTTGTCATTGCGGCTGGCATAGTGACAGGCAGCTTTGTTGCAGTAGGAGAAAGGCATGGTAGAGAAAACAGGGAGGCAAGAGCCAGCCTGGCCTACAGGGAGCGGGAAAAAAAAGAAAAAAGGCAGTTGGAAATGTTTTCTTTGTGTGAATAAACTCATTGAGACATCAACAAAACTATCACTTTATGCAGACGCTTACCCAGGTCTTGTGTGTGAGCCTTCTCTTGTCCCTCTAGGTACACCAGACTGTAGCCCACCCAAAGCTGACTGCTGCCTTCAGGGCACTGTGGCACCTGAATTGACTGACTGTGGACGACAAGGAGGAAACCTGACCTGGATGAGACCCTGTGACCTGGTTCACCTGGATCACCAGGTTGACCAGAGACACCTGGAGGATGCAGGGGTAGCAAGTGGATGACATAGAGAGAGGAAAAGACAAAAAAGAGATTAAATGAGCAATTTAAAGGAGGACACGAATGGTCACATTTGTATCCTTTATACATAAACTCTAATTTTTGGCCATCCAGACACTGGATTTAACAATACAAAGGGCTGGTAATGTAACATGACTGTGTCTGATTATTCACCTTGAAGTCCAGTGAATCCTTGCTGACCCACTTCGCCTGAGTCTCCAACAGGACCATTAGGACCAGCAGGACCCGGTAGACCGGGGCCTCCCATGGGCCCTGCAGAACCCTTCTCTCCTGGAACATACAGACAAACAAGAACATATATACACAAAAAAAAGTGAGAATAAACACACATATCAATTCAGCCACACACCAGAATGTGTGCAAATATATAAACCCTGAGAATATATTAAGAGTGTCTTGCCTTTACGTCCTGGAGTCCCAGGAGGACCCACATCACCAGGGAAGCCCGGAGATCCAGGGTAACCAATTGGACCTGGAAGTCCAGGAGGAGCCATCCCTTGTTGTCCACTGATGGAATCACCAGGAGCTCCCCTGACGCCTGGTAAAAACACAGTTCACAAATCATCAGATGCACTGCGGGAATATTTAGACCAACATTTCTGTCAATCTATGAGGATTTATGAAATAATGTCAGTGAAAAAAATACCTTTAGAAAATGATTTGTGGGCCTCTCACTCACCCCTATTTCCAGCTGGACCTGTTTTTCCCTTACGGCCCCGTGGCCCAGGGAGTCCTTGTTGACCATTAGGTCCTTGAGCACCCCTGGGACCAATGGGACCTCTCTCACCTGTCAGAGTGCAGCGACATTTAGAGAGTATTCACCTGGTTCGTATTTGATGACAGCAGTCTTGCACTACGACGTACCTTTTGGACCGATAAAGCCTGGATTGTTGTGAGATCCTGGAGGCCCTGGGCGGCCCATGGCTCCCTTACAACCTGGTAACCCTGGGGGGCCAATCGGTCCTGGATCTCCACTGGAGGAAATGCCACTGCCTGGAGGGCCTGGTTCCCCTGGAAGACCTACCAACCCAATACAAAAGTCCCTGACAGATTACACACAATGTTCTCTCCTCAAGCTGTCGACACAACTTGACGAGACAAAAATAGTCACACACACCTGGGAGGCCTGAAGGTCCTTCATATCCTACATCTCCATGCGGTCCTGGTGAAGGTGTGCTGCATTCTGTGCCAGCGTATCCAGGTTCGCCAGGGAAGCCTGGAAGACCTGAGAATAGAAATCTAGCATTTTATTCTTTTTCTCACTGAATATGTAAAGAAATGGAGCAGATACCACACTAAAAAATGGAAAGTGACAAACAAAAGAGAGCCATGAAACAGACTTTGCATAGTAACAAATCAAATCGTTGTGATATTTTAAGCAGACTTACAGTACAGAAAAAGTGATGATAATAATAAATATTATACCTGTGTCACCAGGTGGGCCCGTCAGACCTTTAAGCCCAGGAAAGTTGACTCCTGGGGGTCCTGGATGGCCCTTCAGACCTTTGACTCCAGGAAAGCCATCTGGTCCTTGAGGGCCATGGATATCGTTGCCTTGAAGTGATATATTAGACTCAGTGACACAAAAGTCAATGATGACTCTAGTTACACTATTTCAGGATGAAATTACCAATTACCAAATTCAACTTCAGTATTACTATTTAAGGCAGTGGGAAAGTCCTAAAGATACAGTTTTATTTTAATGCGAAGAAACATTTAAGCCAATAGCACATTCACCACAAGCGACATGCAAAGCAATAATTGCTCATCTTAAAAAAAAAAAATCTTACCACTTGCTCCCTTCAACCCCTTTGGACCTCTTAGTCCGTCCAATCCATCCAGACCTGGTGGTCCAGGGGGCCCTGACATAAGATTACAATACCACACAAGAACTGTCCTCAGCATACAAATGTACTTTCTTACTTTCTTTAGCTCAACAACTTTTATTTTGCAGTATGTTTTATCCATTTCTTTGTGTATCTTCATAAAAATAAGTACAGACTTCAAAGTATTGAGGTGATGAGCACTACAAGACACATCAAGGGACATGCTGAACACTTGCTGTGTGTGCATGTGTTTGTGTGTGCATGTCTATCTAATATTGGGAGAAACAGAGGATATTATGTTAGTACCTGGAGGCCCACTTGGGCCAGTTGGACCTGGTGGGCCGAGACCTCCTTGATCACCTGGACTACCTGGAAACCCTTGATGGCCAGATGGACCACAAGGCCCAGGGATGCCTACACACACACACACACACACAAAGAGACACACATATGCACTAAACAATGTACCTTAAGCATATATTTCAAAATTCTCGAGAGACAGAAAAATGTGTAAGAATGATTTAAATTCCTTGAAGAGCAAATCAGAATTTGTAAGAATCTTATTGCTTAACATGATTTTATTGGAAACTGCAGCTGATTTGATTAATTTAGCATTTAATAACACCCAAATCATGCTTAAATCTAAATTGAATTGATAATTATATAATTTGGGAACAAACATCCTGGTTACTGGCACAATGTTCTTGGTTTATTTTTTTCTGATGGGGTGCAAGTTCTTACTTGACTCATGAGATAGCTTTTCCACGTGAAAGAAAGACCTCATCAGTGTACATTCACTTTAAATTTTTTGCTGCAGTACATCAGTTCACAGGAAATCACCTAATCCTCCGAGTCTTCCTGGTTCCCCAGGAATGCCTGGTTGTCCGGGCTGTCCTGGCCTTCCCCTGGGTCCCGGGTCACCTGAATCACCTGGACTCCCCCTGGGTGCTTGAGGAAATCATTTCATGGAGGTGAATGTATTCCCTGTTTACCTCCACTCATGTATGTAGTCTATGAAACTGTCAAACCTTCTTTAAGCATGTTTAAATTTTCTAGTTTTACTTCATCACTTCTTCTGTTACATTTGGATTTGTCTTAACTCACCATACGGTCCATTATCCCCTGGCAGTCCTCTGGGTCCAGGTGGACCAGGTTGTCCAATTGACTTTCCTGGCTCACCTGGAAGAGATTTAGATAATCAAGTTATTATATACCTACAGGTCCTTATATCTACATTGATCATAATTATATGCATATAGAATTACCAATTATCCAATCTGCTGTAGGTTCACATACTGTTGTGTCTATATTTTTTTCCAACTGAGAGGATATTTACCAATATAAATAAACACATTATCCAGTGTTACTGACCCTTGGCACCAGGACCTCCTGGTCGCCCTGGTATCCCCATATGCCCTGTAGGCCCTGGATCTCCCTGTAAAAGATAATCAGCAAATTCAATTCAATTTTATTTGTATCAAGCATAATATTCCAACAATATTTCATCACATCTGAGTCTGATAAATGGTAATTTATGAAAATCCAGGCTATTGGATACGACAGAAAACCCAACATATGTCATGAATCATCAAAAGCTCTACACAGTTTTTTAAATTAGCATGTAATTATATATGAGAATATGATTTTTAGTTAATGTGATGTGGCATCTATTTTAGGTGTTTTTGGTTATAGACTGGAAAGATACTAAAAAAGACATAAAGTGGGTT